TAGCTTTAGTAACATTCTCTTCTTATTGCTTGAGGATGAAACATCTACAGTTTGGATAAAGCCTCGGGAAGAAGTGATTTCATTTGATGAGGAGATATTAATATCATATTTAAAAATGGGAAAAAAATTTAAAAAGTTTGCAATATTATTCATAAAGGTGTTCTTGTCATTAGGATTATTTCCACTGCTATTCATATATTGCATATATGCCTCCAACCAAAACTCTGTGAGATTTTTATCTATATACTCATTTTGTTCAAATTGTGTCATACAGTTTTCAAGTTTCTGTCTTACATCATTATCCCAATAGTTAACAGTTTCAGTAACAATGACCATAACCCTTGGACCATAATCTGAAAAGTAATCTTCCTCTACATTAAAGTAGGGTGTGATATAGGAATCATCACTTGCCAGGTTCCGAAGATCTAACCCTTCCTGCACTTGGAAGCACCCATATATACTGCATATGATATAGAAAATGTATATCAGCACCACAATGAACTTGGCTTTGGAAGTTGTGAGAAAAGGACCAAAATAGTCTCTAAAGAACAAATTCATCGGATGGTTATCTTCTCCATGTTCATCTGGCATTAAACCGAATGGGGCACAGCAGGACTTTTTAAATGAGGAATAATTTTGGTCTGGCTTTTCCAGCCAGCGGGAGCATGCAACTTCTCTTTTACCATCCAGAGCCATAATTGCTCCAAAACAGGTGATGCTATAAAAATAGCAAAAGAGCAGGGTTGTTCCTGTATAGATGCAAAAATACTGTACAGATCTAAAAGAGCTAGTGATTCCTGTATAGAAAGCAAGAACATTGGTGATGGTGGTGATTGTAATGGACACTGCCACCTTTGAATACGAATTGGAGAGTCGTTCTCTTACGCTCTCTGAAAGGCTAGTCTTCTGCCAGGCAGAAATCATGATAAACATGTCATCAACTCCAACACCTACAACAAAAGAACAGGTCTTCAAGTATATTAATAATATACAAGTTAAAACACTGAACATTTTCTTTTTTTTTTTTTTATTCTTTTTTTTTTTTTTTTTTTTTTTTGGTTTTTCGAGACAGGGTTTCTCTGTGTAGCCCTGGCTGTCCTGGAACTCACTTGGTAGACCAGGCTGGCCGCGAACTCAGAAATCCGCCTGCCTCTGCCTCCCAAGTGCTGGGATTAAAGGCGTGCGCCACCACCGCCCGGCGATCACTGAACATTTTCTATTGCTCATCTTGCGAATCTCTGCTTAAACATTGTTTGCTCAGGCTGTTTCTGAATTTATACCAGAATTTCTCACTCATTCCTCTGTAAGAAGTCTTAGCTCTGTACATAACTGTTGTTTGTGCACAGCACACTCTACTGTTTAACCAGGGTGTCTTCATGATAAAATGAGGACACCTACCTGATGTCCATTACATACTAGTTAAAGCAGCATCAGCAATCCATCTTTGATCACATGAGCCATTTCAACCAATATACAATTACATCTATCAAACATTCTGTTACTTGAAATGCAAACTGGCAAGTGTGTTTCTAGGTAGTATAAGGACACATACGTAGTACTATTTGGATTATAGGACCTACTTCACAGAAATACGCGAAGACAAACTCACAAATCTAGTGTCCCTGCTAGTCTCTATTTGATACCAAGCATGTGGTAGACACAATGTTTCACTGATTCTGAGACTAGAGAGGAGTGCAAAACAGAAATCTTCAGAACCCTTTCCATGATGCAATTTCATGATAGGCTTGAAACAGAACTGAAGAATGTTTGAGAGTTTTGACATTACTAATGTCAAAAAAGAAAGGGGATAAAAAAGGAGACTAGGCAGTCAATCCTACTGCCAATGAATTCATTTTAGACTACAGTTGGGACTGCTCACATTTGTGTGTGCTTTTATTCCCATGTGTAGTTTACAGTAAATCTTGGAACTGCATGCTGACCTTTACTCCTTTTTCATAGATTTCAAGTTAAGGTGGGAGAATACTGGGAATCACAAGCTGGCCTGTAGTTCAGATACTCATGTACCTGACTGAGGTAGAAAGATCCAAAACTTGCACAAAGATAGAGGGATTGTCATAGTCTGAATGGTGGCACCCCAGGACTAGCAGCTCTCAAGTCTCCAGCTGAGCAAAGGAAACAATTAGAGACACTGAGGACCAAGAATGGAATGGATTGGTCTCTTAGGTGTTTAAGAACTGGCCTTATTACTTATAGAATTTCATTCAGAAATTCTCCTCTCAGTTCTTAAGTGGCTGAAACACATATACAAATCTATACACCTGCTCCTGTGGATACACACTGTACACATACAGTGAATACAGACTGACTTGCAGTAAACACATCTCCCTTAACTATAGTTATTGATGGCTGTGTGGAAAGAGAAACTCTTGAACTGTATGGAAGCCATCACATGTCAATAAAAAAATCTATGGCCAATGAGCTGAGGCAGGAAATGGGAGGTGGGAGTTCCAGTAGAGGAGGTGGGATTCTGGGAAATAGGCATGGGAGACCCCAAACACTGAAAGAGACTGACACATAAACCTGAGAAGAGGTAACTAACCAGTGGAAGAAAGTAGACTAAACTGGATTATTGAGATATGAGCTACTCAGGGAAGAGAGTCAAAGCTTATGACCTCGGCATTTAGTCATGAAATATTAAGTCTCAGGGTCGTTATTTCAGGGAACAAAGTGGCTGGGAGGAAAACTACCAACTACAACTGTGGGCACACTAGCTGAGTGTACGAACATAAGGGTGTACTCTGAAAAACAAGGCTAAGTTGATCTACAATATATAAACCCATCTAATATCTACAGGAAAAACATTATTTCTCTCAAATTACATGGTTTGATGTGTGTTTGTGTGTGTATGCTTACTCTTAAATTCTAAAAACAGCATAAAAAAAGAAACCCTATAATCCCTCTTTCAAGGATAACCCTGAAAAACACTTTTTTAAAAAGATTCATTGAGCCAGGCGGTGGTGGCGTACGCCTTTAATCCCAGCACTCGGGAGGCAGAGGCAGACGGATTTCTGAGTTCGAGGCCAGCCTGGTCTACAGAGTGAGTTCCAGGACAGCCAGGGCTACACAGAGAAACCCTGTCTCGAAAACCAAAAAAAAAAAAAAAAAAAAAAAAAACCCAAAAAAAGATTCATCTAAATTTGTTCTATGTAAATATTTTATTTTTGTTTAGCTTTTATTCTTTGTTTTATATCATGCACCACATTTTTGTTCATCTCCCCATTCCTTCATATCTGCCCTTTGGCCTTTCAAATCCACCCCCCCCCCAATTAAAAAACACACAACAAAAAACACAAATCATAGAAAACATATCAGCATGGAATTTGTAGTGTGTCTCACAATACATCCCTCTGTACTGTGAAAATGTGTATCCCACACATTTTCACATTTAAACTTTCATTGCAACAAATCATTGGTCTGGTTTGAGATCTCTGGCTTCTGTGACACAATCAACACTGGATCCTCCCTCACCAGGCCATCTCCCAGTTCTCCTGTTGTTGCCCTGTGTTGTGGAGATCCTGCAGCTTTGGATCAGCAGGACTGGCACTTTCAGGCATCCCAACCATTTATAGATGATATTGATTTTGGGCTGTGCCAACTCAGAGCCCTGAGTGGTAGCTGAGCTAGTCAGTGTGCCAACTTTTCCTTATCCACACCACCAGGGTGAGCTCTCCAGCACTGCTGCTGCTAGGCCACCCACTGCTAAATCAGTAGTAGACAGGGTCAGTTCTCCTGCCCAGATGCCCTTGAGGCTAGCTCACCTGCACCCATGCCTCCAGGGCCAGCTCCATTGTGCTGTCCAATCCAGGCGCAAGGCCTACTCTTCCAAGTACTGCAGCCTGTGAGGAGCTGGACCAGCTCTCAAACCCTCAGGTTTGGCTCATCTGTGCCCTTGCCATCAGGCCAGCTTCACTGTGCTGCCCAGGCAAGGTACAGGGCCCACTCAACTAAGTGCTGCAGCCACACGCCCTTGGAGCCAGCTTTCCAGACCACCGAAGGTGGAGATGGGGTGCATTTGCACCCATGCCACCTCACGGCAGACAAGGGAGGGCCTGCTTTCCTGTACTCTCACCCTTGGGCCAGAGCACCTCTGCCCCATCACGAGGGTCAGCTCTACTGTGCTGCACAGATGATGTGCAGGGCCCACTCACCCAAGTGCTGCAGCGGTGAGGAGCAGGGCTAGTTCTCCCACACTCATAATAAGCCTGTGGGTAGCTTTCCCAATTGTGGGAGGTGGAATAGGTTTGGGGTGGGAGGTGAGAAGGGTATCACCTCTGTGCCTGTGCCACTTCACAGCAGACCTGTCCTAGGGTCAGCTCTCTCACACTCATACCCTTGGGGCCTGCTCACCTAAAGCTCTGCTACCAGAGTCAGTTCCACTGTGCTGCCTGGGTTAGGCACCCTTCAGGCCCACTCTCCCAAGTGCTGCAGCTTATGAGAGATGGGACCAGCTATCCAGAACACTGGAGCCAGTAAGAGGCAGGGCCAGTTCTGAACAGCCCTCAGACATCCATGTAGCCGCCAGTGGCTGCCACGACCAGGGACAACCACATGTTCTTTAGTTGTAATATGAGCCATGGACATTGACACAGACACCTGCTGCTGCATAACCAAGGACTCAGACATGACCCTCAGCATCAATTTGGGCTGGGACTTCACCATAGCACCCAGTGGTGAGGCTGGCCACTCCCAACAGGCTATTCCTCTTCACCCTCCAGTCTCCAGTTCCATCCCTCTTCATAATGATCAAGCTGTTCCACTTCTCTTTCTCATCTGTCCACTACACACTTGCACTTTGTGGTGGCTCCTGTTACAGGCTGGCCACATGGCTGGTAGCCCCCTGGGTAACATTCCCCAGCAAGTGGAGGTCTATGGCCTGCCTGTGAGATGCACCAGAGGGCAGGTCTTTAAATGGCATGACTGAACATAAGTCTCTGTCTTCCTCCTTTCACACTGTGCACTTCGTGGATTTGATTTGAGTTTTATGTATCTCAGGCATAAAATAGCTTTGGCCACCAAGCTAGGCATCAAGCTAGGATGAACAAAGGACTGCCACCTGCTCTACCCCTGACTGATATAAGAACACCACCACCACCAAGGTGTCTCTTTGCCCATTGCCAGAGGGGTGGGTGGGGAGTGGGGGTGGGGAGTATCTTGTTTTATAATGAGAAATTTTCATTTAATTATATTTGTATTTGTTTAAAGGTTGAATATGGTTTCAATGTTTTAATGTCTGATTTGACAAATTCCATATTGATATGGGATCATGTTGCTTTCAATATTTTCTTATTCAAAACATACCAAAATAAACCTATTTATTCTACTTATGATCAATTACATTTACCAGATAAATTTTATAGAAGTGAAATTGCTTGTCTATAGCTCTCCATTTTTAAATTCTTTGATTTGGTACAAACTTGGGGGAATGCAAACCAATTTATACTTTTCCTGAAGCAGAATCTAGAGAATGCTCATTTATACACAGCATTCTAAAACGACCTCACTAGTACTGATTAATCAAGAAAAAAAGAACACTTTTTTTGCTTTGTTTGGTTTTTTTTAGATTAATGTGTATCCCTTGATACAAAATAGTTCTTCTTGTATTTTCAAAGGTTTCTATTTTGTTCTCTATAAACTAATAGCCACATTTCTTTCCTCTATTTGTGTAGGGTGCTATATTTTTCCAACTCTGAAGACAATTTGTTCTTTCTATTGTTTGAGCCAGCTAAACAAAATACATTCCCTTATCCACTGACCATATCTACAGATTTAACACAGATCCATAATTTGTTTTACTCACCAAGAATAAGAAATGGTGAATTTGCAACTATGATCACAAATGGGACTCCAATGTGCAGCATCAGGCCAAAGCCACTCACCACTGACATGGCAACAGAAAACACTCCAAAGACTGCAACCCACATTTTGTTTCTTATACAGTCCAACCTGTAAATTTAGAGGGAAAAATAAGAACTTATGATGGTGATATTTCCATATTGAACTCCTACTAATTGGTTGTTGACTTACACACCTAGGCAGAAGCCTCTGGGCTGACAATTTCCATATCACAATACTGAAAACCAAGTCAAACACACGAACCAGGACTCATTCAAACCAACACCAAGGATAAACTGTTTGAAATGGAACATGTCCAGTTTTTTTTTAATTAATCCAACCCCTGACTTCAACTAGATATAAATGTAGTATAAATAGTCTGCAATTTCAACTTAGTTCAATGAGTGCTGTGGCTAAAAGTATGAAAACATTGTTTTAAATGATTTTCATGATGCTTATGTACTTACTGATGTGGGCTCTATAGAAAGGTTGATAATTTGAAAAAAGAAAGAAAAAATTGAACACGATGCATCCTGAATGACCAACCTATTTTTTTGTCAGGACAACAGAAAAGAAGATAAATACAAGACATGTTTAAAGTATGTTACTATGCCTTATCACCCCACTGGCCACTATAGTTTTTTTTAATTTTTAGGTTTATTTCCTTCTGTGTGTTTTTTTGTTTTTTTGTTTTTGTTTGTTTTTTGCCTGCATATATGTATAAGCATAACATTCATGCTTGGTCCCACAGAAGTCAGAGAGGGTGTCTTATAAGCCATCAATTGCATTCTGGGAACAGAGCATGGCTCCTCTGCATGAGCAACCACAAAATTCTCTTAAACCATCTCTCTGCCCTAAAAGTACATTTTAAAATCTTGCCAATACATTCCAGGTTTTCGGCTTTACTTGCTAGAAATTGCTTCAAAACAATGACTGATACCTACACTTACAAATATATTATAGGGAAAAGAAAACAGATTAGGACCCTAAATGTGAGGATGACAACTGGGAATTCAATGACATTGATCACATTCAAAAAGGTAAAAGATTTCTTTACCTGTTCTCAATCCAGGAAGGAGGAGGCAGCTCCAGAAACATCTGGGAAAGCAAAACCTTGCAAGAGTCTCATAGACCCGCTAGGAGAGGAGACTGAAAGATCCTCAGCCTATCCAGCTGAGAGCTCTAGGAATGTGTCTTTCACAAGTCATCACCCATGTTAAGCTATGTGTTCTGGTGATGCAAATATTCTTTTTAAGTCACTCCTGCTCCTATTAAGTACCCCTAACCCATACACCTTTTAGTAATAACCCCATTAAAAAGCTTGTTAGGTCAGCAGATTGAACTCTGTTGCAATCATTTCTTTGATCTGTTGTGAGTTCCCTTTCTGGGTGAATAGATATGTGTTGTGTCTTCCCAAGAAAAAATGTCACACAATAACCACAAATGATGTTTCAGTTAACAATGTTATTTGGGGGCAGTGTAAAATGTATGATCAATAGGGGCTCCAGAAAATTAAAATGGGGCTGAAAACATGTCCCCTAGTGAGTAAACAGGGGAATATGAAAATGGAAACTACCACAGAATAATCTTCAGGAAAACTCATAGTGAAGGGCTTAGTAGCTATTTAGACCTCTTTCTTAAAGAGTTAAAAAAGGTGCTGGAGAAATGGCTCAGCAGTTAAGAGCACTGGCTGCTCTTCCAATGACCCAGGGTTTAGTTCTCAGCATCTATATAGTGGTTCATCATTAGGTGATCCACCACCATCTTCTGTCCTCCATGTCCACCAGTAATGTATACAGCACATTGGCATACATGCAGGCAAAACACTCATATACAAGAAATAAAAAAAATCTTTTAAAATTCAATATTTCATCAATATATTTATCTAAATATTTATCTTTTGTCCAATATGCCTCTTCTTATTTATTTATTTATTTATTTATTTCTCAAGCACTGCCCCCCTCCTGGTTCCTCCCTCAGTAAGACTCTCACCCATTCTCCCTCACTTTCTCCTCTGAGAGGGTGGGGCTCCCACTGGGTATACCCCCACCCTGGCATTTCATGTTCTGCTAGATTAGGTTTATCCTCTCTCACTAATGCCAAATAAGGCAGCCCTGTTGGGGAACAAATACCATAGTCAAGCTACAGCTTTAGGGAGGGCCTCCACTCTAGTTATTGAGGGGCCCGCATGGAGACTGAGCTGCACATCTGCTGCATATGTGCCAGGAGCCTCATTCTAGCCCATGTGTGTTCTTTGGTTGGTGGCTTAGTTTCTGAGAGCTCCCAGTAGACCAGGTTAGTTGACTTTATTGGTCCTCCCAGAAATAAACCCAGATACCTATGGACACTTGATTTTTGACAAAGAAGCCAAAATCATAAAATGAAAAAAAGCATCTTCAACAAATGGTGCTGGTCTAACAGGATGTCTACATGTAGAAGAATACAAATATACCCATATTCATCATCCTGAACAAAACTCAAGTCCAAGTGGATCAAGGACCTCAGAATAAAACTTGATACACTAAATCTCACAGAAGAGAAAGTAGGAAATAGCCTTGAATGAATTGATACAGGAGATACCATTTCCAGAATGGTACAGAACACCAATAGCTCAGGTGCTAAGGTCAACAATTGATAATGGGACCTCATGAAACTGAAAAGCTTCCGGTAAGGTAAAGGACACTGACAATAGGACAAAACAGCAGCCTACAGATTGGGAAAAGATCTTCATTAACCTTACATCTGGCAGAGGACTAATATCCAAAGTATATAAAGGACTCAAGAAGTTAGACTCCAATAAACCAGATAACCCAGTGGGTGGGTGGGTGGGGGGAGTACCCTCTTAGAGGAGGGGAATGGGATGGGGGTTTGCAGAGAAGAGACTGGCAAGGCTGACAACATTTGAAATGTAAATAACCAAGAAAAAAGAAAATATGAGGTACAGAGCTAAACAGAGTCATCATGGAAATTCAAATCAAAATGACACTGAGGTAAAATATTTTTTTAAAGAGAAAAATTAGCCAGGCAGTGGTGGCACACACCTTTAATCCCAGCACTTGGAGACAGAGGCTGGAGGATTTCTGAGTTCGAGGCCAGCCTGGTCTACAGAGTGAGTTCCAGGACAGCCAGGACTACACAGAGAAACCCTGTCTTGAAAAACCAAAAAAAAAAAAAAAAAAAAAAATTAGATTAAAAAACCATGAAACCTAAAACTAAAAAGTTTTCATCAAGAGAGAGTAAGGTTTAAGGCATACAATTTACTTGCAAGCAAATCAGCAACTAAAAAAAGGAAAGAAACCATGCAAACATTCATGGGTCCGTTTCAAGATGGTAGCTGAACTTCCCAATATTGTCCACCTACAACTAGTTTTGAAGGCAAGAAAGATGAAAAATTGAGAAGATCATGGATTCTCCTCCACAGTGTCAATGAGCCACTGAGGCCAAGCAACGTATGCCAAGGTCAGAGGACCTAAAAGGCCATTGTGTGAAGCTGTAAAGGTGAAGTCTAGAATGTAATTGAGACCTTAGCATGTTGAAGTTGTCAAAAACATGAGACATACATCAAGGAGAACTGCATACAGAGAACGGAACCAGCCCAAGAGAGGGACTACAGGCGACATAGCTATAATGGCTGGGCCATCTAAGCCCATTAAATTGAAGCTCCAGATACCAGACATACAGTACAAAATTTTGTGTTTGCACTTCTGGGTTTCAGTCTTCCTCTCCTCTACTATTTCCTCACTATGTTCCCATGCCTCCTTTTTGGAAGGGTAGTGTATATTCATAAGGGAAGTATATAATTTATTTTTTTTAACAGGGAATCACATTTAACCTAAGTCTCAGAAGAGTCTTTGACTTTTTCAACTTTTTAACAGTGCTAACAGTTAAAACCATGGGGACTTTAAATAAAAAAAAGATTTGTAACTTTTATTTTATGTGTATAATCTTGTACCACAGTTATGGTTATGAGAAGGGATGGTCAGGCCAACTAGGACTAGAGTTACAGGCAGTTATTGGCCACCATGAAGGTGCTGGGAACTGAACCCAGGTATCCTGCAAGAGCAGCAAGTGCTCTTAACTGCTGGACCATTTATCTAGTACTACTGTGGGAATGTTTAAAGTTGGACTAGATGCATTTTGAATCATGCATAAGATGGCCATGAGCCTATTGTGACCAGGGACAGAAAGTATGAGCTTTAATGAAATATGTCCCCCATGGGCTTATGTGTTTGAATATTTGGTCCTCAGTTCCTCAACACTTGGCACTGTTTGTAAGCTTTAGGTGGTAGAG